TAATCAAATTTTGAAAATGCCCCTCCCCTCTGCATTGGAGGACCTTGCCCGATGACGTAGGCTTTACGGTTTGGGTGTCTCCTTAACATCCATAACCACGCCCCTCCAACTGACAGCTGCTGTGTGTTAGTGCCGAGCGAGCATTGATTGACAGCGTGTGTAAACTTGCGTCATCCTCCATTTCAGAATGAAACACCCATTTTTCTAGATCCAATCAGGTGCTAGTTGGAAAAAAAAAGCCATGGCCACTATTTTGCCTCAGAAATACGTCACAACACTGGAGAAAAGTCGTTTGCAACTTTCGGTTCACGGGGACTTTAAAGTCCAGAAGTTATGCTGCAACTTATTTTTAAAAACAAAAAGTTGTGTCAGCATTGCGATTCTTATTATGCACGTTTAAACACAATTTAAACAATGTGAAAAAAGTTAGGGCTATTACTCCATGCATTACAAGTTGCTTAAGCAAGTGGTCAAATTTCCTATAAAATCGCAAATTTAATTTAAATTAAAAACTTGAAATTGACAAAAGCAGCCGACTTGCCTTTACTTTTGCATTTTAATTTTAAAACAATAGATCTTGCATGTCACAAATAACTTATTTTTCCACTTCCACGATTGAGACGAGTGTTGTTCATTCTGTTGCCTGGTTGAAGTAAATTGTAGTTTTCCTTTCACCTAAATGTGCATTTATGGTGAAATACGGCGTGGAATTGATCGCTGTGCTGCTGTTATACGTGATACCACACCAGTGAAAAGTGAAAGCCCTAACCTGTTTACATGGTGCATAGGAGACTGCTGTGTGGCACTTTGCTCTGCTTCAAGTCGCTAACCGCCATTTGAGCTTTTACTGCTTCCTGATAAACACTAACCTTCGTGCACAGTGGCTGCACAAAATAGACATTTTGGGCAACGTGCAAAATAAAAATATTAAGTATGTGTTTGTTGTACAGTCGCTGATCAGTTATTCACTGTGCAAATGCAATATGTGAACGCACTAACAGCACGCTCCTGCACCGCAACACACACTGCAAACGGGTGTGAAACGGACGTTAGAACCACCTACAGTTCTTAGAAACTTAGATGTGTTTAAGAACTCTTTTTTTTTTCGTACAACAGCAGCACTCATCTTGTTCATTAGTGGATGCGGATGACCAGTCGTAGACCGGAAACTAGGGCTGAACGATTTTGGAAAATAATGTAATTGCCATTTTTTTAACCAATATTGCGATTTAATATGCGATTTAAAAAAAAAAAGTTCTTTACCTTCTGTATTAGTCTACAAAGACGAGCAATAAATCATTGTACAGTAGGGATGGGAATCTGAAATTCTCTGCGTAGCGTGGCAAGTTGATGCTTTATCTTGCAGACTGCTTTTCTCTCGCGTGTCACGTGACCAGTGTAATCGCAGCCCTTGCGATTACAAAATCACGTTTCATCATATTGCGATTTTATCGCAAATGCAATTAATCGTTCAGCCCTACCGGAAACTGATATGCCGACTTCTGACAAAAGCGGAAGTTCGAAACTACCCTTGTGCACATAACCCATTGGTTGTTTATTTAGTTGTTTAGTTGTCTTTGAGTGTGAACAATATCCATGACATTTTTTGTAGATGACTTTGTAATTTGTATTTCTGTGTGTTTCTTTTAGTTGGGTGAAGACAACCAAACACAGCTTCATCCAGCTCACATTCAGTACTCTAATAACAAGATGGAGGAGTCACATGCTCAAAGGAAAGCAGAGGAAGCTGGCCAAGCACTAGAAACAAAATCACGGTCAAGCAGATCACATCGTTCAAGTAGATCTTCAACTAGTGCGGCTCCGACAACAGAAAGAGCTAAAGCAGCAGCATGCAAAGTAAAAGCTTCTTATGCAGAGAAGGAAGCCATTGTGATGAGAGAGAAAGCTCAAATCGAAGAGGATCAACAGGAAACGCTAGCTGTAACAGCACGCAGAAAAGCAGAGGTTGAGGCTGATTTATATGTGTTACAACTGCAGAAAGAAGCTGAAGCAGCATCCACAGAGGCAGCAGTTTACGAAGCAGTAAATTATGGAGAAGATGGAGCAAGTGTCGACCTAGAAAAAGAATCATACATTTCAAGCAAATTTGAACGCACTAGAGAGTATGTGCAGAAACACTCAAAGCTACAAAATGCTCCAAATCTTGATCCTGATTCTCGACAAGCAAGTGAGAACTCAAGTTATGTGACGCGGAGCTGCGTTGCTGGATCACATAGTTTTCTCCCTCCAGTGGTGAAGGAGGAGTCGAATGTTGAGACTGTTCCTATGAGGCAGGAACAAACAATTCAACACAACCACCAGTGTTCTCCTAGAAATGTAAAAATAGAGCCGTTTGATAGAGTTGATGAAGTAAGGAGTGAAAAGAAATTTAATGGTCAAAGAAATGGTGAGTTCCGGCCTGTTCCAATTTGACGACTGTCCAGAAAATTACTGGGCGTGGAAAACATCTTTTCAAGCTGTAATCCGTGAACTCAGTAAAACAAGCAGAGAGGAGATTAACCTTCTCATCAGATGGCTTGGTCCTGATTCGTCTATGCATGCCAAACGAATTAAATCAGTTCATGTCAATAATCCTGCCATAGGAGTACAAATGATATGGCGGCGCCTTGAAGACTGCTACAGGTGTCCGGAGGTCATCGAGCAAGCAATGTTGAGAAGACTTGAGGCCTTTCCTCACAGCACAAACAAAGACACCTATCGTCTGAGAGACCTTGTTGCTTGAACTGCTATCTGCAAAGGAAAGTGGACGTTTACCTGGATTCACTTACTTGGACACAGCGAGGGGAGTCAACCCTATCGTAGAAAAACTTCCATTCAGTCTGCAAGACAAGTGGATTACACAAGGTTCCAGGTATAAGGAGGACCGTAATGTGTATTTTCCTCCATTCAGTTTCTTTGTCGAGTTTGTTTGCAGACAAGCAAGAACCAGAAACGATCCTAGTTTTGCACTTGCTTCAACTGGCCGTTTGAACACAAGATTCGACGGAGCTGTCAGGTCGAATACCAGAACATCTGTCGTCGTCAAAAAACTGAAATAATGGCTGCACAACCAAACCAAGACAGAGACTCTAATATGAATGTAGACCCAGACAAAGTTTGCACCATTCACAACAAACCTCATCCACTTCACAAGTGTCGCTCTTTTAGAAGCAAACATTTGGATGAACGAAAAGCGCATCTGAAGGAAAAGTCTATCTGTTTTAGATGTTGTGCTTCCATGTTGCAAGAGACTGCAGAGCATCTATTAAGTGCAGAGAATGTGACAGTGACAGACACATTGCAGCTATGCATCCCGGTCCTGCTCCATGGTCCATTGAAGCATCTGTATCAACACCAGGTCAATTCATGAAACAAACAGATGAGCACATTGCTGAGATCAACAACAAGTGTACTGAGATTTGCGGGGAAGCTAGAAAACCCAAGTCTTGTTCAAGTCTTGTAAAAGTTTACCCTTCTAATGAACGTAAAAAAGCCAAACGCATTTATGCTGTACTGGATGAACAGAGCAATAGATCAGGCACAGCGTCGACTTTCATCTTGGGGTTCACAAATGGATCTGATAGCGGGGCTTGAGACGGGCCCCGCCCTATCTCAGCCCTTACCTGCTGGACCCAGTGTCCGCTCTGCGGATTCTCCTTCCCAGGCTGAGGCACCAATGCTGACGCTATCCAGTTCCGAGGAAGTGGATGTCATCAGCGTTGATGCGGGGGATCATGATGTTTCTCGGACTGGATGCGATGATGCAGGTGTGGCCGAGGCTACACCTGTATGCATTTCCCCCGATATCAATGCTCCCGGGAGTTCTGGAAAGTGTTCGCCAGGATGGGGCTCATCTGTTGTTAGTAGCCCCACACTGGCCGACCAGAATATGGTTTGCGGACCTAGTGTCTCTCTATTCCGGTCAGGAGGGACCTGCTTTCACAGGCGGGGGGCACAATATTTCACCCTCACCCCAAGTTGTGGAAACTATGGGCTTGGCCTCTCGTGAGAACATTGGATGAGAGACCAATGGAGACCATTCTTCAATCCAGAGCTCCCTCCACGAGAAAACTGTATTATTTGAAATGGAAATTGTTCTCTACATGGTGCAGAGAACGTATTTTAAATCCTGTTGACTGCCCCGTCGGTACAGTTCTCGATTTCCTTCAAGACCGTTTCTCTACTGGACTAACTCCCTCCACCTTGAAGGTGTATGTTGCGGCTATATCTGCCTTTAGATCCCCTGCTAGATCCCCGAGAGCTGCGTTCGCCTGCCATACTTCCTGCATGCCCTGAGCGACCTGCTTCAGGCCTCCCAGAAGCTGTTGCGGTCTGATCTCAAGGGTGCTATATAGTTTCCTGGTCAATGACGTCACCTGACTCTCTCATTGGACTGATTGTACAGATGCTTCACGACGCAATCACGCAGAGCGTTCCCATCGCGTTAGCCAACACCGCTCTCGTTCCCTCTCAGGGAACCAGGGTTACATACGTAACCTGAGACGATACTTTGGGCTTCAAATATTAAATGGAGGACCTTATAGTGTAACTCGACTTGTGACTTACCTGGTATTACTTACCTGGTGTCTTAATGTCTCTAGAACTGATCCATAATAGGAGTGGTTATTGTTTCCAAATTACCACGTATCCCTGATAAAACAACACATTTATTTTCAGAAACAAATTGTTTTTAATGTGGCACACAGGTGTGTAAATTGGCTGGAACTTCTTTGCCAACTGTGGCATGAACCTCAGTACCATAAGGAGGAAACTTTGTAATCATGTCAGGAACCTCGGGGAAGCTTCTTTGACATGGAGCTCTAGAACCGTAGCAGGGGCTGGAGTTGCAGCAGAATGAACCTTCACAGTGATTCTGTGGAGCAGCACTGGTTTTGGGGCAGCAGTGACAGGAAACTTTATGGCTGTCTTCACTAGGAATGCTGTAGCAGCCCTGACAGGATCTCTGGGCCCAAAGTAGCTGAGAAAGAGGGCTATGTGAAACTCCCTCTCTGGGACCCAGATGCCAGCAGCAGAAACTTCTAGGGCGTCGGTGGTAGGAACTTGTGGGACGAGTTGAACAGAGAGCTCTGGGTGACTCCATTGTTAAAAATATGATTGGATGGTGCAGAACCAAACTAAAACTAAATAAACTATTTACAATACCGGTGCCAGACATAACCGAGGCCTGCCATCCCCTCTAGACGCTGAGGCTGGAGAGATGAGGGGTGCTAACTAACTGAATAAAACTAAACTATTTACAATATGCACATATCCCTAGGCAAGTAGCTCTGCAAGTCGCTAAAACTACCGCCTCAAGCCAAGGCGCCAGACGCAACCCAGGCCTGCCAGCCCCGCAAGACGCTGAGGATGGAGAAATGGAGGGATCATCTGTGTCAGCCCGCCAGACGCAAGCCTAAACTCTCTCTATGACCTGAAACACAATTAGAAAGCATTTTTCATAAGATATAAAAATTACATCTGTCCCATATATAAGGATTGAGTATATGACAGTTACAGCAGTACTGAATGGTAATGTAAAGAAGCTGATGTCCATATTCAGATAATCAAGCCAAATTAACAAAAAGCCCAAAAATAGGCAGATATAAATATATCTTAAAAATCATTTTAGCTTGTCTTAGACTCTGTACCTTGAACCAGTCATGGGAGAGTATCTCATTGGGTTGCTCTTCAAGCAACCTCGAATAAAGCGGCAACATTCTGTGCAGAAAGACTGAGAGTTGTCTAATCATTTCCTTCAACTTTACACTTGCTCTCTAAGCTGTAAAAATGGCAAACATTCCTGCATTATCCATAAGAACATATTTTTTGGTTCTAACCATCTGAGAAGTTCAGCTGGAACCAGACATCAGAGTCTCCGCTGTCTGGGAAACGGCGGCCGATCACGGGGCGAACAGCAGCAGCCCCAGCGACCACACCGTTGCCTGCTTCCCATAGTACTCGCCCTTCTCAAAGTACTCAGGAGGGCAATACCTTGCTGTGCCTGTAGATGTGTAAGCTAGCTTTATTGACTAGCCAGTATTGACTATTCTTTGAGAGGTTTGTTAGTGTGTTGTTAATATCTCACTGTGTGATGATGTCTGATTAAGACATGGCGTAATTGGTCACTAGAGTTTAAATCCTAAAAATATGTTTTAAAGATAACACATACCAGTGTAGTTTTTGTAGGATGAGCTTTGCATGAGGTCCCCGCAGCCGAAATCGATCAATTTGACCTCCAGGGTCTCTGTGTTGACTAGGAGGTTCGGCATTTTGATGTCTCGATGCAGAACACCCCTAGAACAGCACAGGACAGCAGCTTCGATCACCTGCCGCATGAAGTGACAGGTCAACTTCTCGCTGAAGCGGCCTCCAGATTGCAGCCAAAAGCTGTGCATGTCCATGCAGGGTGAGGGCCGCTAGGACCATGATGTACTGCTCGCGAAGGTCCTGCCACTCCAGCAGCTTTATAATGTGGCGACAGCATGGGCCTTGATTGGCCATTGCTGTCAGGGCCACCTCAAGGGGAGGGGGAACAGGACTACTGGAAGGAGGTTCCTGATGATCATTATCCTCTACAGTAAAGATGATGTCCTGTAAAGAAGCTGATCTAAAGAGAGGAATATCAACCACAAGCTTGTTTTAAATTATATCATCCGTAACATCTTCAAACTACATTTGATCTATATTCAAACATTCATCACATCGTGGATTAAAGTAATTTATCTGCCTTTTCATAATGTGTTATGTGGGGTTTTTTTTATATCGTGTGTAAATGATTAAGATAGTTTGTGTTGTCCAGAGCTCATCGTTTACCATCAGTACACCTCCTGGATGGGGCTTCATCAGTGTCCTGGTCCATAGACTGCTCCACCTGCTCATCCTGAGCTTTGGTGGACTTGGGGCGAGACGAACACAAGAAAAAAGAGGCAAACCTCCGAAAGGTCCTCTTTTTCTGCCTCTTATTTGTTTTCTCTGTCCCTCTCTGCTTTCTCTCCTGCCCGCCTCTCTCACCGATGACCAGCGGCGTCTCGTCAGGACGAGGATGGAGCTCCGCCTTGTGTTCGGTGTGTGTCAGTGTTGCTCGGGGATTTATCCCGTGCACGCATAGATACCCAAATAGCCTACAACATGTAACCTAATTTCACCATTATAAATTGTTTTTGTGACGGTTTTAGTGAGTAACTCGTCATTTCTGAGTTACAGGTGATTTGGCTGAAGGGCGTGGTCATACACCTGAAGGTCATCATGCTGCTCAATAAAAGACTGGGACTGAGATGAGAGCAGGAGAGTCGGTTGAGCTTGTGCTCTTTTTGTTCGCTTGGGGGTACTTTGGGGTTCATGTCACGAGGATGAGGACTCGTTGAGAGGTTTGGAGTATGGGAGATCACCACCGTCGCTTGAGCCACCTCATGTGGGATATCTGTTGTCGCTGAACGTTTCATGGACTGAGATGGGCTGGACTGCTGTTGTTCATAAGTACACCTATGCATCTGCTGACACCCTGATTATCATTTATACTGATCATTAATGTTGTTCTGTCTTTCATGGATAAATAAACTCATGAATTATGACAGCTTGTGTGTGGTAACTCCCTTACTTTGTTGCGACTCAGAAGAGATCGTAACAAATGGAGGCTCGTCCTAAAGCAAATTTGCATCATAAAATGAAATTTGATTAATATTTGGAATTCGTTGATGTCGATTCAATTGAAGTAAAATATGTATATATTGAGCTTTCGATATGCACGTTGTTTTGAGTAACGTAAATTGTTATTTCATTTAAATCGACTCACGAGTTTGACAGTAGTTCACAAGGGAAGTGCATTTTTCTCTTTTACAGGGGTTACATTGTTCATTTTCTCCCTGGTAGGAATTAGCAACGCTTAGCGTTGATTTGTTATTTTGCCTTTTTTATTTTTGTGCAGGCTTTTGGGTTAAGTATACCGCCGTGGTTTTGGATTGAGCTGTTTGTTCAATTTTTAAGCCATCGGTATTTTGGTGTTTAAAAGTCGCTTGACTCTTGAAAGCTGCACAAAGACTAGGCATAAGTTAGTTGGGTAGGTAGTTTAGAGGGGGGAGAGTGAATAATTGTTTCACCTGTGTTTTTTTGTTCCGAAAGGAAAATAAATGCACTTGCTTTTTGTTTAATAGTAGGCCTAGGCTATTATAGTGAGAACATAATGTGGTCTATAGAAGAGTTTATTAAGGATCCTAATTCGGAGGAGATGTTAAATTCTTTTGTAAAACAACAATTATGGGAACTTGTAGATCATTTTAAAATCAGTGAGGTAGACAAGAAAATACGGAAAAAGGAATTATGTGCGGTTGTGAAGAATTGGTTATGTGAAAATGGTCTTATGAAAAAACGCGACATTGAGGTAAAGGGTTCGTTGGATATTTTTTCCAGATTATCTTTTGAGGAAAGAAAAGAGATTTTGCACATGCAGCAGCTTCACGATTAAGAGTTGATGAAAGAAACAAAACGTTATGAATTTGAAATTGAAAAAATAAGAAATGAGAATGTCCTCCGACGGCGTGAGATTGATTTGGAAAAAATAAAATTAGATGCTGAGAAGTCCGCACGAGATCATGAGCTGCAGGTGGAGCGATTGAGATTAGGAAAGGAGGGAAGGTCAGATGTAGGGGAGAGAGGTTTGGGTTTACCTGGAGGATTTGACTTTGGCAGTAACCTAAGGTTGCTTCCCAAATGTAATGAATATGACCCTGATGTTTTTTTTTTCCTTATTCGAAACTATGTCCAAAGAGAGGAATTGGCCGAGGTCTATCCGAATTGTCATGCTTCAAACGGTGATCACAGGCAAGGCTCAGGAGGCATATGCATCGCTCACAATGGAGGAGCGTAAGGATTATGACAAGGTAAAAGTAGCTATTTTGAAGGCCTACGAATTGGTTCCTGAAGTCTATCGCAAGTGATTCCGAAGCTGGAGGAAGGGTGATCGTCAAACTCACTCTGAGGTGGTAAGGGATTTGGTTTCTCATTTCGATTGCTGGTGTGTTGCGGCCGCTGTTGAAATTTTGACAAGCTGGGTGATCTGGTCATTTTAGAACAATTTACATATATTGTGCGCGATAATATTGCTACATACGAGAAGAAGCCAAAGGACACAATGGAGGCGGCGGTTTTGGCAGATGATTATGTATTAACGCATAGGAAGGTTTACAGAGAAGACCGATCAGTTCAACAGAGTGGTAACTTTAATGAGAATAGAGTTGGGTTTAAGAAATTTGAACAACCATACCCTTCAAAATCAGAGAACACTGGTCGGATGAGATCTGATAGAGACTTAGTGTGTCATTACTGTTTTAATCCAGGACATTGGAAAAATAAGTCCCCAGTATTAGCTGCTAAGGGGAAGTCTGGAAAAAAGAAATCATTAGTTAATCCTGTGTTAGTGGCTGATGTGACTGAAACTACCAATGACTCTGAGCATGGTACTTCCATAGAGGTGGCTGAGGAAGTGTGTGACCCCAAATCAGTGGCGTAGCCACGAGGGGGCCTGGGTGGGCCTAGGCCCCCTCATTTACATGTCCGGTCCCCTCAGATTTCTGATTGCTTAAAAAAAAAAAAAAAAAAAAAAGTTGTTTTATTAGGATTGATAGATTGACCAATCAAAATGCTGCGCGGTAAAATGCGGCTTATTTTCAAACTTGATTTGTTTATATAACGTGTTGCGCGTAACGTACGCTGTCATCTTCATCTTTGCGTGAGAGTTAATCAGTCCCTCCAGAAAAACGCGATTATGCGATCGCTGAATTCAATGCAAAATCAGCCAAAGTCCGCATATTTATGCGGGGGCCGCATTTTTTCAAATACGCCTCACTTTCGCCACATAAATTGCCGATTTCCGTGCAAAATATGCGGGGTTTGCATAATTTCATAATCCTCGCATTTTCGTTGCAAAAAAAAGTCACATGTATCTTAGCAGAAAGTTGAAAAATGTTGCGTTTGCTTCACATAAGAGCAGCCATTTCCCCCTGTTTCCATGGGAACGTTATGAAGTGACGCAATTACGCGACGCCAGACAGACTCACGGAGGCGATTGACATCTCACAAATCGAACTCGTATAACTGTCTGTCACACGTTCTACCGTCACATCGTTACTTAATAAACAACATAAGATAAAAGTAGTAGCATCAAACAGAAATTACCCGCACACATGGGGTGTTCGACAGTTCAACAGGGAGCGCGCAGCTCTTAAAGGGGCCACACCTTATTTACACTCTTACAGTCTGAAATAAAACGAGATGAGAAATTAAATATTCCCAGCACTTTCTATGATGTAGTATGCTTGCTTATCAAAGGAAGTAATAAGAAATGACTCTTATATTAACAGGATGTTGGGGGAATCACTTTTTCTCTTTTTCATCAAACCGCAATTTTTGCAAGTTCCCTCAATTTTTGTAAATTCCAGCAATTTCATCGCATAAAATTGAATAAATATCCCACATATTCCATCGCATTTTTAAAGAAAACTGGCCGCATAATCAATCAATTTTTGCCCGCAACAATCACAAAAAAACTCTGTGTTTTTCTGGAAGGACTGAATACTATTATGGTAAATGTTAAATATAAATCGCAAATTTTTTCACAAATTTTTGGAAATTACCACCACAAAATCAGTCATTTTGATCGCAAAAATCACAAAAAAAAAATCATGAAATCCTGGAGGGACTGGTTAATATGCCGTGACAATGGCAGGCGCTCAAACTCAAAGTACAATATTACACTTTTTTTAAAAAGCACGGAAAGATCAACTTGATATATATATAAATAATGTTGCCCCCTCATTTAAAGACGGGACCCCCCAAAAATAAAATTCTGGCTACGCCCCTGCCCCAAATTAGTAGCCTTGAAACACTTTGTACCATTTATTACGGAAGGTTGTGTGTCTTTGCCAAACTCTGAGAGTAAAATACCAGTGAAAATTTTGAGAGATACAGGCTCATCAGAATCTTTTATTCTTGAATCTGTTCTACCCTTTTCTGAGGTATCAAGTGAAAGGAGAACTGTTCTGATTAGAGGAATTGGATTAAACATTCTTTCTGTTCCTCTGCATAGAGTACACTTGACATCCGATTTTCTCATTTGTGGAGAAGTGTCTTTGGGAGTTCGTCCGTCTTTGCCAGTGGATGGGGTTGCTGTCATCTTGGGTAACAATTTGGCTGGAGCTAGAGTCTGGCGGGAGGTGATTCCACCTCCTGAGGTAGTGCCTATTCCAGTCACTGAGAACACCGACAGTTTGCAACAATATTTTCCTGAACTATTCACAGCTTGTGTTGTGACTTGCGCAAGGAGTCGTGAGATGTCACTTGAGAAACGAAGTGTTAAAATATGTTGTTCCTGGGTTAGCCACCCTTTCGCCTATTTCTCATAGGTAGTTGGTGGATGCGCAGTGGGAAGACCCGGAGTTACAGAAGTTGTTTGATGCTGTGATTTTGCCTGAAGGGGTAAGAAGTACTGTTAGTGGGTATTTTGTCCAAGATGAGGTTCTTCTAAGGAAGTATTTTCCCTGTAAGAAAGTTTTACTAGAGGAGTGTATGATTCAAGTGGTGGTGCCTAAACGATTTCGAGATGTGGTATTACAGAATGCACATGGTGAAATTGCTGGACATTTAGGAGTAAAGAAGACATATGACCGAATTCTGCGACAATTTTATTGGCCTTGTGTGAAAAAGGATATTGCGTCTTTCATTAGAACATGCCACACTTGCCAGGTAACTGGGAAGCCAAACCAGTTGTTAAAACCAGTACCTTTGAATCCCATGGAGGTTACAAGTAAACCGTTTGAGCACTTAATAATTGATTGTGTCGGACCACTGCCTCCATCTAAATCAGGGAATTCATATCTCTGACCGTGATGTGTCAGGCGACTCGGTATCCAGCAGCTTATGCTATTTCCGAAAAATAACCACCAAGGCAGTTGTTAAGGCTTTAACCCAATTAATATCAATTTTTGGGATACCTAAGATTATTCAAAGTGATAACGGTACTAATTTTACATCCCGTCTGTTTGCTGAGGCTCTGAAGGTACTTAAAGTTAAACATAATCAGTCAAGTGTGTATCATCCTCAGTCAGGGTGCGATTCGAACGGTTCAACCAGACTTTGAAGTCACTTTTGCATGCTTATTGTGTGGAGCTAAGCCGTGACTGGGATGAGGGTTTTCCCTGGCTATTACTTGCTGCTAGGGAAGTACAGCAAGATTTAGCCCGAATGATTTAGTTTTCGGTCATCGTGTACGTGGACCTCTTTCTGTTTTGCGTGAGGGATTAGGTGGGGAGGAGACTCTGCAAAATTTGGTAGAATATGTAAATGGTTTTCGTAGACGTTTGTTTTTGGCCGGACTGAGTGCACAGAAAAATCTTGTTGTGGCACAAGAGAAGATGAAGAGACACTTTGATAAGCGTGCTGAAGGTCGTGTCGTTACACCTGGCGATCAGGTGTTAATTTTGTTACCATCTTCTGGGTCTCCTTTTTGTGCTAAGTTTACTGGACCATATACTGTTCTTCGGAAACTATCTGATAAACCATCAAATCGCAACTCCAGATAGGCGAAAATCTAAGAAGTGTTTCCATGTAAATTTGCCTCAAAGCTTATCGTTCTCGAAATTCTGAAGTCCAGTCAACTCAATCAGTTGCTCCAGTTGTCACTGCTTCTTTTGACTCTTGTCAACCTTTTGTTGAGGGAGAAGTTATGGTTGAGGATACAGTTGTTCCGGAGGATTGTGTTTTGTTACCTTGACTAAAGAATTCAGAGACACTTCAGAATTTAGGTGCTCAGTTTTTACATTTGACAGAGGCTCAAAATAAAGATCTAACACAGTTGTTATGGGAGTTTACTGGTTTGTTTTCAGATATACCCAGTCGTACTCATTTGATAAAACATGATGTTGATGTGGGAGAGGCGCAACCGATTCGTCAGCGTTTTTATAGGGCTCCCGTCAGTAAGAGAGAAGCATTGGAATCTGAGGTTCGATATATGTTTGTGAACGGAATAGCTGTTCCGTCGTGCTCAAGTTGGGCTTCACCTTGCTTGTTAGTACGGAAAGCAGATTCAACTTATAGATTTTGTACTGACTATCACAAGTTAAACGCCATCACTAAGCCCGATGTTTTTCCACTTCCTCGAATGGAGGATTGTGTAGATCAGGTGGGTACAGCTAATTTTGTGAGCAAGTTAGATCTTCTTATGGGGTATTGGCAAGTGCCGTTAACTCCTAGAGCTAGGGAGGTAACCTCTTTTATTACATCATCTGGATTATATTCGTACTCCGTTATGAGTTTTGGTTTACAAAATGCACCTGCCACCTTCCATAGATTGATGAACCGAGTGGTTGCTGGGTTGGAAGGGTGTGCGGTGTATTTACAATATGTTATTGTTTTCAGTGAGACTTGGGAGGAACAGTTGGTCCGTTTGTGAGCTCTTTTAACTCGTTTGATTGAGGCATGTCTAACAGTTAACTTGGCCAAGTGTGAGTTTGCCAAGGCGACTGTAAGATATTTGGGGAAAGAGGTAGGCCAAGGTAAAGTGCGTCCACTTCAGGCCAAAGTTCTTGCCATTCAGCAGTTTCCTTCTCCATCTACCAAGAAAGAAACAAAACAAACCCAACACCATAAATTTATTAATCATATTTCTAGGCACATTGTTATACCACTTCTGATCACATGATTACCACAATTATTTCCATTCACCCTTCAGCCCCACTTTGCCATCAGCAATCTGGATCCTGAAAGCAAATTAAGATGACAAGAGAGCACAGAAAAACAGAAACAACCATATAACTATTGCACTTAGTTGATCAGATCAGGAACACAAGATAACGCATCTGCCACTACGTTATCTGATCCTTTAATATGTCTAACAACCAAATTGTAGGGTTGTAAAAAGAGTATCCAACGCATTAAAGGCTGACTCGGGGACTGTAAAGAATGCAAGAATGTTAACGGATTATGATCAGAAAACATCTCCACCGGCATTCCTCCCTCCACATACACATAAAAAAACTGAAGTGCCCAAATTAAGGATAAAGCCTCTTGCTCGATTACAGAGTAATTTTTCTGATAGGTGTTAAACTTTCGAGAAAAGAAACTCACGGGATAGTCAAACTAGAGCTTAGATTCTCTGCCGGGCCGTTGATGAAGCACGTCACGTGTCACGCGCAGCATCTCTTTCACTCGCACGCTGTATTGTGTAGGCTAGCTATCTTCAGTGCAACATGGAGCTTGAAGAAGTGAAGAAAAAAAAATCAAAACTGATAAAACCCACCGGCGTCTCGTCAGGACGAGGATGGAGCTCCGCCTTGTGTCCGGTGTGTGTCAGTGTTGCTCGGGGATTTATCCCGTGCACACATAGATACCCAAATAGCCTACAACATGTAACCTAATATCACCTTTATAAATTGTTTTTGTGACGGTTTCAGTGAGTAACTCGTCATTTCTGAGTTACAGGTGATTTGGCTGAAGGGCGTGGTCATACACCTGAAGGTCATCATGCGGCTCAATAAAAGACTGGGATTGAGATGAGAGCAGGAGCGTCGGTTGAGCTTGTGCTCTTTTTGTTCGCTTGGGGGTACTTTGGGGTTCATGTCACGAGGATGAGGACTCGTTGAGAGGTTTGGAGTATGGGAGATCACCACCGTCGCTTGAGCCACCTCATGTGGGATATCTGTTGTCGCTGAACGTTTCATGGACTGAGATGGGCTGGACTGCTGTTGTTCACAAGTACACCTACGCATCTGCTGACACCCTGATTATCATTTATACTGATCATTAATGTTGTTCTGTCTTTCACGGATAAATAAACTCATGAATTATGACCGCTTGCGTGTGGTGACTCCCTTACTTTGTTGCGACTCAGAAGAGATCGTAACATTTTGCAACCATGTAGTTCGATTTTCCATATTGTATGTCAGTATCAGTATTTGCTTTCAACCATGCACAAATAAAAATGTCACTGAACTTTTGCTGTGTTTTGTGACGATTAAGGGAGCACTCAAACACACCAAACCAACAATTACTAAAAATACACACAAAAACTGATTTTGCAGGGGCACTGCACAAAACTGTACTTTATTACAAAGGGAAGAAATTAGTAAAAAAAAAATAGAACTTAATTTGTTTTTGCCCTTTTGTTCATAAAATTAGTAAAAAAAAAATAGAAATTAGTTGTTTTTTTTCCTTTTGTTCATAAATATTGTTCACTACATAGCTACTGTATAAGAAAGAAAGGAGAAAAAACATTTCTAAATTTACAGTAACATTTCATTAGTTGCTGTGTTTATAAAATATGAGTTGAGCATATTAAAGCCTTTTCATTACAGCAGAGTTTGTTAAAAAAGAAGACTTAAAAGAGCAGAATCTGTTATAATTGTGAAGTCTATTCTATAGTGACAATTTGGTGTAACATTAATATTTTTTTGTAATTAATTTTTTATGCGAAACAAACGTGTTTTCACGTAAAGGTGAAAAAATGTGTTTTTAGGTAAAATTAAGGTAAACTAAAATGACTTTTTTCCTCAAATGCAGACAATGGACTCTGTGGTACAGTCCAAATATTTCGAGTGTCCCTTATTTTCTTATAAAGAACCAAGATTATTAGGCTAATATTATTTTGCTTTGCTGGAATTGGCTATTAATAGTCAAACAAATCAGGAGTTTCTAAATAACAAAGACATGCAAACTGCATACAAATTGCTTTTTAGAATTAAGTTGATGTCATTTAACGACATTTGATTTAATTTAGAAATGTTGTCTGGTTTTCATTTAGCTTGTAAACTGTACACTGTAGGCTACGTTGCGTAATTGCATTTGGAGACTCTGTCCTGCGGGCGTTTTGAAGGAACAACCTGTCTCAGAATCCTAAGGACGACTATGTGTGTTACTAACTCTAACATAAAAAATATCAAGTTTTAAGTTAAAGGTAGGATAAACAATAAGTCTCTGTATCTTCCTCGGCAGGATCGCGGATCGGAGAAAAACCTTGGACGGCATTTGAGGAATACCAGGAAATGCAAACAGATTTTTTTTGACCGCAGGCAATAAATCACCTTCTTCCCTGTCGACAGGGCTGTGCCATCTCGTATCACCGGTCAAAGGGTTTTCTCAAGCTCACAGAATGGACGAAACGCTTCGTCTCAAGCCCACTCAACATTCACTAGAACGAAACTGACCCTATATGGATCACTGAAATGGGATTTATTTACTGCTTTCATTTAACTTGAACTATAGGCTACACATACAGGACTGACGAACAATTTCACGATGGGAGACATAAGAGAAAGGGTTTTATTGTGCTGTCGGAGCATTTCCTCGTGTTTCAGAGACCCTGCGGATGACACCTCACCTGCCACCGTGAAACCGACTATTGAAGTGATAAAGAATGAGTTTGCGAAGGCGCCTAGCCGGGAGTTACCGCCGACACCTGTGGAGAAACCCGGCTACGTTTACGTCGCGCTGTACGACTACACGGCGCGCACGGATGCTGACCTGAGCTTTAACGCGGGGGATAAACTGGAGCCTCTCACTAAAAGCAGCGATGACTGGTGGTTGGCGAGAGGAATCACCGGGATTTCGGCAAATAAAGAGGGATACATTCCTGCTAACTATGTGGCACCCGTAGAAAGCCTCGACGCTGAACCGTAAGTTTCTGTGGAACTGTGTCAGTCTTAATAAAAATCTGTAATTGGATTTAATATAGAAGTAGCTTCTATAAGATTAGTTTGGATACACAGGGGATCACATTGTGGTTTTGTTAGGAAGGATTTCCCTGAATGAGTTATGGTCAGAAGAAATAGGGGTGCGTAACGATACTTGTTGTCACGATTTGATACATGTATCATATCCTGTATCGTGCCATATACGTGATATGATACTCACGATACCATATTATTGGGAAACTCCAAGACATATGGTAAAATGTTAACAAAAATGTACTGTTGATTAAAATGCAAAAATGTGTATTACATTGTGGGTGTGAATTGGCTTATACCCAAAGCACAGCACAATAGAGACACCACAATATAACAAAATACAGAATTATTTTAGACGAATGTGCTTGCACTCCGTCACTGACTAGATAATGGACACTTTTTACTGGTAACAGGACTTTTGACATTATCAGGACCCACAAATATTATTCCACCATTGCATTATAATACATTATATTAAATAAATATATAGTAATTTAATGTAGACACTAAAACTCTCACAGAAATTTTCATTTTGGGTTAACTATCCGCAATATGTTGATGCATTTTTCTATTGTCATATATTGTGACACAATATATATGTACACCCCTAGTCAGAAATGATCTCCTGTCTTTCTCAAAACACATGACATGAGCATGACAATTATAGGCTATTTACCATCAATGGCCTTCCTGAAAACCTCCAAACAGAATTAGTCATCTCTCTTGAATTCATACCAGCAGACAGTACAAACAACTGGCACTGAATGAAGTTGCCTAATTGTTTAACTGGTCTGGTATTATAATGCAGTGCTTCTGAAACCTGTCCTCATTGTCCTGTATAAAGGAGGGACCCTCACCACTGCACATTTTGAAAGTGTCCTTCATCTAACACTCCTGATTCAACTCATCAGTGCATTAGATCAGATTGCAAGACTTGAATTGGGTGTGTCTGATAAGGGGGGCATCCAAAATGTGCAATAGTGGGGACAGGTTTGAGAAGTGCTTTTGTATTGTATAAGAGTGTATTGTATTTGTAATGCATGCATAGATACCCTGGACGTCCTAAGAGTAATTCTTCTTAAATATGCATTCAGCAAGAGGAATAGTATGAGGATCCCTGCCAGCAGATTCTATTTCTGTTGTCTGTTTTATCTTTAAGGGAAGCTGGTTAATGTTCAGTGGATAACCAGGAAGCATTGAGCCTGTTAATGATTCCTAAGCTCTGTGCACTATAAGTGCCATAAACTGATAGCAAAAAAAATCACAATCCAATAATAAGTCAATTGAAATAAATTGTTTAAGATTTTGTATTTTATTTTATTATGCTAGACTTGTAATTGCGTTATTGAAGGAGGTTCTTTCTCTGTCAGTATTAGTAATTCTGATAATGATCAACATTTGTTGTGTGTGATGTTATCTCTCACTTAAGGCTAGTATGCTTTGTCACTTTGGCACACTGAATAGTTTCGTATGTATGACGTATGTATGTACTTTCCAGTTTTTCCAGCTCTGCCACCAACTACGTAATGTGCACATTTGTTTTGTAGCTATTTGACTTACTTTCAGTCAGATGTAGTCTGTTGACAAGACTTCATTACAGTTCATTGTCCCGCTGGTGCATTACAGCATCATGTGTCAGCAAATGTTTAGTCTGTTGAAGATTCAAACATTACTAGAACCTGCTGGACACAAGGTCTCTGCAATGTGTGTCAACAACCATAAACACTGAGGAAACCAAAGGTTAGTTTATGAAATAATAAAAAGTTCATAATCTTTGTTTGAACTTGCCCAATTGTTATCTAGACCAGAATAGGTTGAGAGTGGAATGGAGAGAGAACATTGTGTTTGGTACGTTTTTCATCTTCAAACCAAACTTGGTTCCTCAGGCGACAGAGTTTAAATCCCATCTGGCTAGCACTCGCCTCCCATAATGTTTATGCAATAGATCAGTGAACGGAGAGTAGACGGTCTTTTGTGGCTGTTTGAACACATTCGACCACATGAGCATGTACACTACGCATGCAATCCTGGGTACCGCTTCCTTTTACAGTAACAGTACTTACAGTGTACTTACCTAGAAAGTACTGGCTAAGATAAGGTAAGTACATGGAACAGGTGTAGGTTTAGGGATAGGTTCAGGGTTAGTACTAGTTATTACCCAGTAATTGTAGTTACTAAAATGAGTCCCAGGGGCCTGTACTTGAAGCCGGTTTTAGTGGCTAGCCAGGTATGTTTCAGTTTAGTTTGCGCCAACCTTGGGTTTCAGTTCCGGTAAGAGGTTCTGGAATTTGGACCAATCAGCTGTGAGCAAAGGATAAAGTCACTCCACCTGTTTCTACTTTAAATTAAAGGTCGCAAATGATTTTTAAAGACAATCGTCTGACTTTTAGTAATGCTTATTTAGAATGGTAATTTTGTATGATTTAGATATTATTTATGTAATTTTTATACTCTTAATCGATCATACATGTACAGTTTTAGTTTATCATTTAATATTACACACAGTTTAAATGACTAAATTTATAAAGGTCATATAAATACACTTTAGGATCAATAGATAAAGCTTAGCTATAAAGTGAGCTTAAATGTTCAATTCTCTCTTTACCTTTATCAACTGTATAAACTTGTTAGTTGTCCTCTTTCATTGCTATTTTCTTCTTGCTGTGTAAATTTGTTTAAATTCTTAATATCTTTCAATCACGTAATATTCTGCAGGATAGAGAAATGAATCGCAGTTTCACTCGTTCTCATCATGTGATTGGCTGTTCACTGCTGATGTCACACCTAAACTACTAAACTCAGGATCAAAGCCTGAGTTGACAGAGAAAATTGATGATGGTACCAACAAAGTCAGGTTGGATTGGTTTGGTTTCGTCAACTCGAAACTAATCCTGTAACCCTGAGTTTGTTCAACTACCATCATGGTACAGGCACATGTGTGAACAGGGCTGGCTTACACTGGATATGAAGTGACAACCAACACATTAATAAATCGTACGGAAGTAAATGAAATCATCCTTAAAATCAAACATTGAAATGTATTTACATTATCAGGAACGGGTACGCTAACAAGCCTAGCAGTTTGCTAAGAAAGTAACAACCTTGTAAACTCATAAACAACAGCAGAAGTGTGAATTACCAGTCAAAAATATTAAACAAACACTGGGCTAAATATTGCATTGCTAAATATTGTGTTAGCCATAACACATAAGTTTTCAGTACAAAGATTTCAGTACACCAAAGCAAAACGGGAAAGTACATTTTATTCTGTGACCTCTAATATTGTGTGATATCAACCTCTAATAATGTTGTGCTGCTCTTCCACCACAGATGGTATTTTCCAGAAACCAAGCGCTTGGATGCCGAGAAGATGTTGATGTCTCCAGAAAACAGCAATGGAGCTTTTCTAATAAGAAACTGTGAAAGCCAGGCGGGAGAACTCTCACTCTCAGGTACATTAACCTCTTTTCAATCCCCTAATTATTTTCACATGTGCAGCTGTGAAGCCATAAATGTTATAAACGTTAAATAATAAAAAAAAAAATCTCTAAAAAAAAAAGAACTATTGCTCCCAATTAAGATGTTTTGTCAAAGTGATGTTTTGGCTGAGATGGAGTTTGTTAACTGAGCTGTAGTCTTTGAAAACTGTCTAATAATGTGGTTCACGGATTCAACATTCAGTATTGAATCAATGACCTGTTTTAGTGGAATTTATTTTTTTAAGGTTAGTAATAGTATGATGTTCCTGAAACATTCTTTCAACTTTGTATGAATGTTGATTTATAACATTCCAAGAAAATACAAATCTTTAACATTCGAAGATCATAAAAATGCCTAGTTTGCTTTTCACCATGAAATCAAAATTTAAGTTGTTTGGCTTTTCGTTTGGGTGTTATCAATAAGCTAGTGTGCAAGTGCCAATTCGCATTCAGAAGATAAACGCATTCAAAATGTACACTCTCTCAATTCTTTGATTTCATGGTAGAATGTTTTTCTAAAAACGTTTTCTCCCAACATTATGAGGACGCTTAAAAAACCTTCTAGAAACAATGCAAAGTTTCTATGCTAACCTTTTGATAACGTTATTTGATGACCAGATAAAATTGAACAAATGTTCTAGTAATGTTACTGGAAGAACGTTTGCTCATAACCAGGGTTCTCAAGTTTTATCAAAAGCTTGGAATGAGATCACATGCGTTTGGGGGAGGAGCCCCAATGGAGCCCCGCCCTCACCCATCCCAACCCCCATCCCCCAATTTTAGCCATTGTTCATAATTAACCAGCATACCCATGAGCATTTCCCTTATAGTTTCAGATAATGTAGCCTAAGCTAGCCAAACTGAGGCAAAGCTTCTGGCCTGGTTGCAAAGTAGTTGTAGAGTTTGATGATGTACACACAATGATAATGTATACGAAGGGCTGTATATTAAATGTTCAAGCCTAAAAATGTTAGACTTGTGAGCTTTCTTACCTTCTCCATCACGACATGTGTTCGCGCGATGTTGTTGGTTACCTAGTAACAAATAATACGGTGGGTGAGAATGTTACGTCAACTTCCGTGTGTTCGTCTAACGCCTAACATATGAATTATGCTGCCTAACGCAATCTGTCCAAGAGATACGTGCTGGCGGCAGGAAACTTCACTTTGTGTGCCTATGCCTCGTATACAACGTTATATATAAAGCTTGCAGGACAACTTGGTTGGCGTTGCCTTTTCAGCGTGAGAAATACACGGTGTGGCGTGTGAGCGTGTGAACTGTTTGAATTGATCTTTCGCCGGTCCCTCCCCAAAAACGGCCATTGTCCAATCACACATCATAGCAACCGTTACTATGTGAGCTGCTCCGTCAAACATTGACTCCAAGCAAGATGGTGAAGCAGTGTGGCTATGGCTTTTGTAAATCGGACACAAGACACCCCAAGAGATTGTCTGGAGAAGTTGTGTTTTTTTCCCTTTCCCTTTCCAAAGTTAGCAGTCAGCTAAGTTAGCAGTGCAGCACCGTAGACTACAGTTTAGAGGAGTGCACGGTCGCAATGGGGAAAGCATGAAGCTTACTTGACAACATCAGTTCATATATCAATATCGTAACCAATAGAAATAACCTTAAAGGAGTAGTTAACTTTTAAAAAAACTTTTCTGTCTCTTATGCATAACGTTAGTTACTTTTTAAAGGACAACTCCGGCGCAAAATGAACCTTTGGTCTAATTACACATGTTACCTAGTCAACCGTTATCTGAGATTTGTTTTCATGATTGCCGAATGTAAATAGTTTTATCTCTAAAAACAGTTT